CTCAAAGACAGCTACGGCTGAACTTTCAGCGCACTTTGGTCCTTGGGGCATGATAAATTAATATTTTCTTACAAGTCCCATAATTAGCTTTTTTTTTTTTTTTTTTTGAGACAGTTTTGCTCTGTCGCCCAAGCTGGAGTGCAGTGGCGCGACTTTGGCTCACTGCAACATTCGCTTCCCAGGTTCAAGGGGTTCTCCTGCCTCAGCCTCTGGAGTAGCTGGGATTGCAGGCGCGCGCCACTGCGCCTGGTTTTTGTGTGTTTAGCAGAGGTGGGGTTTCGCCATGTTGGCCAGGCTGGTCTTGAACTCCTAACCTCAAGTGATCCACTGGCCTTGACCTCCCAAAGTCCTGGGGGGGTTACAGGCGTGAGCCAACAAGCCTGGCCCCATAATTAGCTTTTGAGTAGCACAGTAATATTGCAGGGTGTGCACGTAAAAAGAATTACTGTATGAGCAGACATGGCTGGGTGCGGTGGCTCACGCCTGTAATCCCAGCGCTTTGGGAGGCTGAGGTGGGAGGATCGTTTGAAGTCAGGAGTTCAAGACCAGCCTGGCCAACATGGTGAAACCCCATCTCTCTAAAAATACAAAAAGTTAGCTGGGCATGATGGCAGCCGCCTGTAATCTCAGCTACTGGGGAGGCTGAGGCAGGAGAATCGCTTGAACTTGGGAGGCGGAGGTTGCAGTGGGCCTTGGCAAGGTGTCACCCCTAGCCGAGGTGACAGTGTGAGACTCTGTCTCAAAAAAAAAAAAAAAGGAGCAGACGATAAATTAACCTTAATTCTTGTTGGAACCCTGAGTTGGGTGCTTTACATGCCAGTAACCTCAGAACTGGAGGTGGGCCTGCCGTGGCGGCTTAGGCCTGTAATTCCAGCACTTTGGGAGGCTGAGGTGGGATGGTCTCTTGCGTCCAGCCTGGGCAACACGGCGAAACCTCATCTCAACAAAAAATACAAAAATTAGCTGGGCATGGTGGTGCACGCCTGCAGTCCCAGCTACTAGGGAGGCTGAGGCAGGAGGATCTCTTGAGACCAGGAGGTGGGGGTTGCAGTGAGCCCAGATCCTGCCATTACACTCCAGCCTGGGTGACACAGCATGACCCTCAAGAAACAAACACAAAGGCCAGGCGCGGTGGTTCATGCCTGTAATCCCAGCACTTTGGGAGGCAGAGGTGGGTAGATCACCTGAGGTCAGGAGTTTGAGACCAGCCTGGCCAATGTGGCAAAACCCTGTCTCTACTAAAAATACAAAAATTAGCCAGGCATGGTAGTGCATGTCTGTAGTTCCAGCTACTTGGAAGACTGAGGCAGGAGAATCACTTGAATCTGGGAGGTGGAGGTTGCAGTGAGCTGAGACCGTGCCACTGCACTCCAGCCTGGGCAACAGAGCAAGACTCTGTCTCAAAAGAAACAAACAAAAGAATTGGAGGTGGCCTGACCTCTGTGTCTAAGAGGCCTGGGCCCTCCACACCCAGCACAGGAACTCAAGCCTTCAGTCACTGGGGCCATGGGGAGGGTGGGAGGAGCCCACAGCTCAGGGGCACTGGGGCAGGCAGGAAGAGCCTCAGAGAGGAAGGGGTGACACCCCCCACCCTTGGGAGGGGCCCCCAGCGGTTGCTGAAGCTGTGTGAGGAGGAGGAGGAAGTGAGAGGAGGAGGTGAGGTGCCGCAGGAGGTGAGCTGGGCTGGTGGAGACAGAGGCTGGGCCTGGGGCTGGGTCTCCGGACAGAGCCCTGGCTTTTCTGTCAGGGCAGGGCCTAGCCCCCGCCCCCATAAAAGAGGAGACATAGTTGGCTTGGTGAGATACCCTGAAACCTCCCCACTCTCACCCCGCAGCCAGGCCCCAGGCGGGCCGGGAGTGGCCCCTCACACTGGTTCTCCCCACTTTCTCTGCCTGTGGCATTGAAGGCCCCGGGCACCATGGCCCAGGCCCTGGGGGAGGACCTGGTGCAGCCTCCCGAGCTGCAGGATGACTCCAGCTCTTTGGGGTCCGACTCAGAGCTCAGTGGGCCTGGCCCATATCGCCAGGCCGACCGCTATGGATTCATTGGGGGCAGCTCGGCAGAGCCAGGGTAAGGGGGCAGGGTGAGGGATGGTGGGATGCTGGGACAGAGGACGGGGGCTGAGGGCTGAATTCTGGAGGGAGGTCGGGAGGGTCTGGTGGTAGGGATTGGGAGGGGGACTCAGCCAGTAGCACCCGTCCGCAGGCGCCAGGTGGAACACTAAGGTGGGAAGGGTCGGGGAGGCCTCTGTACATCTCTTACCCCCAGCCTCCGAGGGTTCGCACCCACCACTGGGGCAGAACATCCTTCCCCTTTGAACCTCTGGCTCAGGAATCCCAGATCCGAATCACAGACCCATACCTCCTTCCCCCTTTCCCCAAGCTACAGACAGAAACACAAGTCCAGATATAGACAGAAACTTGCCCCAGGTCACACAGGAGATCAGACACAGACCCAGATTCAAACTCAGGACTCCGGGCTTCCAGTCCAGGGCTCTCTCCAGCCAGCTTCCCCTATGAATTGTGTCCCTGTCCTGGGTGACAGCCAATCAGCCCCTCCCCCAACACACACCCACTCACCCCTTCAATCTCCTGCTTCTGCCCACATTGCGGCCACATCCTTTCCTGTCCCCATGACAAGCATTGGCGGCTCCTGGGTCACAGGTCACCCCACAGGGCTCCCAGAGATCCCTAGGGCCAGGAGCTGGGTTCACCTGGGTAGCCTGGAGGGTGGCAGTGTGGGCCCTGGGTAACAGCTGCCCAGTGCCTGGATACCTGTGTCATGCCTTCCCAGGCCGGGCCACCCGCCTGCAGACCTCATCCGCCAGCGGGAGATGAAGTGGGTGGAGATGACCTTGCACTGGGAGAAAACCATGTCCCGGCGGTACAAGAAGGTGAGGGGCAGGGCAGGGGCACTACTGGCCCCCAGCAGTACAAGAAGGTGAGGGGGGCAGGGCAGGGGCACTACTGGCCCCCAGCAGTACAAGAAGGTGAGGGGGGCAGGGCAGGGGCACTACTGGCCCCCAGCAGTACAAGAAGGTGAGGGGGGCAGGGCAGGGGCCCCGTTGGCCTCCGTGGGTCATTCCTGTCTGCCTCGGCCCACATCTTGGCAAAATGTACTCACCCTGTGTCCCAGCACCTCCTGCCTTTGCTCCCTGCCACCCAAAGTGGGCCTCTGCCTGCTGATGAGCTGTGCCTGGGGTCTGCCAGCGGGAGCTATGGAGGCTGCCTAGTGGAGCCCTTGGCCTTGCCCACAGGTAAAGATGCAGTGCCGGAAAGGCATCCCGTCTGCCCTGCGTGCCCGGTGCTGGCCCCTGTTGTGCGGGGCCCATGTGTGCCAGAAGAACAGCCCTGGCACCTATCAGGTGAGAGAGTGGGCAGGGGCCCCAACTCCCCTACCCAGAGCCCCTCACCACACCAAACCCTCACACCCACCTTCCTGGCTACCCACAGGAGCTGGCAGAGGCCCCTGGAGACCCACAGTGGATGGAGACCATTGGCAGGGACCTGCACCGCCAGTTCCCCCTGCACGAGATGTTTGTGTCACCTCAGGGCCACGGGTACGAGGCCAGTGATACCCAGGGACCCCCAGCCCCACAAGCCCTGGGTGCTCCAGCCCACTTTCCCCAGCCCAGCTGTACAGTCTTGCATCTCAGGGGACCCAGCAAGGCCCAGGGAGGCTGAGACCTGGGCAGAGACCCCCAGAGGGTGGAGAAGGGGGTGCCTGCAGGACTGGCCCCTTATGGGGTCTTCCGGCACAGGCAGCAAGGGCTCCTGCAGGTGCTCAAGGCCTACACCCTGTATCGACCGGAGCAGGGCTACTGCCAGGCCCAGGGGCCTGTGGCTGCTGTGCTGCTCATGCACCTGCCCCCAGAGGTGAGTGACCTTGACCCCGCTCTGGGAACCCTAGTGACCTAGGCCCAGGGAACCCCATCCCCAGGAACTGCGGCCTCAGAAACCTGCGATCCTTGATTCCTGGACCCCGTCCTAGTGACCCAGGGCCTCATGACTGCCAGCCTCACAGACCTTCAAGCCTAATGACCTTGACTCCAGGAACCTGGGACCCTTGATCCCAACCTTGACCCCAGTCATCTAGGAATCTGGATATTATCACCTTGACCTCACGACTCCTGATTCTGAACTTGGGGACTGTGACCCCAACCCCAATGACCCCAGAAACCCAGGACTTGAACTTCGGGACACTCCCAACCTTTGGCCAGTGAACCCCAACCCTGTGACCTTCAAATCTAATACCATGAGCCCTGTGATTTCCAACACCCTAAACCCCTCAGCAGGCCCTGTCTTGGGCAGAGGGGGGTGCTTTCGGGAAGGGCTCCCAGGAACTGAGCAGGTTAGGAGTGGCCCTGAGTCCAGGCTCCTGCGGTGCCCAGGCCCTCCCCTTCACTCCTTCCCCTGTCCTGACTTCCCCTCTGTGGTCCCTTCTTTGGTGGGCACTTACAGGCCTGTGCCCTGCCCCTTCCCCAGGAGGCCTTCTGGTGCCTGGTGCAGATCTGTGAGGTCTACCTCCCCGGCTACTACGGGCCCCACATGGTGAGGGGCTGGCATGGGGAATGGAGGAGGGAGGGGCAGGAGCCCGGTGAGTGGGTGGGGGTCTGGGAACTGAGGGAGGTTGAGCCTGAGCTCTGGGGGTGGCGGTGCTGGCCTGCTGACGGACGTGGCCACAGGAGGCTGTGCGGCTGGATGCCGAGGTGTTCATGGCCCTGCTGCGGCGGCTGCTCCCGCACGTACACAAGCACCTGCAGCAGGTGGGCGTCGGGCCCCTGCTCTACCTGCCCGAGTGGTTCCTGTGCCTCTTCGCCCGCTCCCTGCCCTTCCCCACAGTGCTGCGTGTCTGGGATGCCTTCCTCAGTGAGGGTGAGTGGGGCAGCCAGTGGCTGGGGCAGGAGCCTTGGGGTATGGGTGGGTAGCTAGCTCACCAGCCCCGGAGTTCCCTTTTTGAGCCTCAAATCACAGGACTGGGTGTACCAAAGGTGATGGCCTGGTGTCTGGTGGTACATCACCTATCACCCATCACCCAGGCACCGCCTGGTGCAGAGCTGGGCCAGAGAGGCTTCCAGGGGAGGCAGATGGGGCAGGAGCTGGGCGATCACAGCACATGGAGGCCTGAGTGTCTCAGGGACAGTAGGAGGCGTTTCTCCCCGGAGCCCGCAGGCACCTGCTGCGTGCTCACTGGCTCCGGACGTGGATCTGCAGCTGGGAATCAAGTGATCGAGACCTTCATTCTGGCGCGGGTGGGGATGGGTGGCGACAGCAACCAAATTCACACAAGATATTTATAGATTGTCAGAAGTGCCATGAAGAAAATAAAACTAGGGATGTGACAGAGTGTCAGGGGAGCGCAGGGGCGATGGGTGCATTTAAGCTCCTTCTGGCTGCTCTGTGCAGGAGGAGGACTCCCAGGGGTGCCTGTGGAGGCCTGGGGCCAGAAAGGCCACTGTCCCCAGGGGCCAGGCTACAGTCCATGAAGGAGGGCGGGCTTGGAGCCGTGAAGCCAGAGAGGTGGAGGCTGGGGGCCAGGCCAAGAACAGGAGGGGAGTCGGAGCAGGGCCAAGCTGGACTCCCTGTGTCTTTGGGACTCCGCCTTGATACTGCCATCGGTAACCCACCTGCATTCTGTTCTATATGTGAGATCTGGAGGTTGCACCTTAAAACGTGGTAGAAATCAATCAGCATGCATACTGAATGCCTGTCGTGTGCTCGGCCGGCTTCCTGCCCTCCGCACAGTGGAGGACCATTGGCTGGCTTAGAGTTCTGGTCACAGGTGTCCAAGTCGCTATCCATGCAGTCACCTCCCAACTAGCCTCAGACCTCGAGAGCAGGGCTGGGCAGAGCTGGGCAGGGCCTGACCTGCCCGCCTGAGAGCAAACACTACACAGGCTCCCTTTATCAGAAGGACGATAGCATGAGTAGTGATTGTTTCTTGACAGTCACCATCATCACTCAATCTTGCCGGTCCCCTGGTGTCTCTTCTCAGATCAGAGGCTGCCAGGAAAGGATTCTGAGGCTCCAGGACTAGCCCAAGCTTGCATTGTGGGGAGTGCACCAAGTGCTATGCTCCTAGCTTAGGGGAGAGCAGTTCTGCCTAGGATCTTTCTAGAATCAGAGGGTCACAGATCCAAGCTGGAAAGGCCCTTAAAGGGCTCCACCTGACCTTTCCTCATGGAGATGAGCAAGCTGAGGCCCAGGGAGGGCTTGGTGTGAAGGCATCAGTAGCCCCGGGCTCCTGGCAGGAAGCTGGTGGCTTGGAGAGGACTGGAGCCTTGGGGTGTGGGCAGGGAGCTAGCTCCCCAGCTCCGGGGTTCCCTTTTGGAGCCTCGAGTCATAGGACCAGGTGTGCTGAAGGTGATAGTCCTGTGCCTGGTGGCACATCACCTGTCACCCGAATGCCGTCTGGGGTAGGAGCTGGGTGATCATAGCACATAGAGGCCTGACCGGCTCAGGGAGGGTAGGAGGTGTCCTCCCCAGAGCCCACAGGCACTTGCTGGCTCCAGATGTGGATGGCATCTGATTATCAAGCGATTGAGACCTTCATTCTGGCGGGGGTGGGGATGGGAGGTGACAGTAACCAAATTCACAAGATACTAACTCTTCCCCAAAGCATCTGTGGCTCTTGAGGCCGACTTGACCAGTGCAGCGGGCTGTGTCGCCCAAAATGCAACTCTACCCTCTGTCATTGTACCTGAACTGGGGGGGGCACAGCTGCAGGAGAGTGGCGGGCACATGGCTGAGGGCAGGTTTGGGTGCAGAACTGTGGAGGGGCAAGGCCGGCCTCCCAGTGAGTGAGCCTCCGGCCTGCAGGTGCCAAGGTACTGTTCCGTGTGGGGCTGACATTGGTGCGCCTGGCGCTGGGCACTGCAGAGCAACGAGGGGCCTGCCCTGGCCTCCTGGAGACACTCGGAGCCCTTCGAGCCATCCCCCCCGCACAGCTGCAGGAGGAGGCCTTCATGTCACAGGTGGGTGCCCCCGCCTCTCCTCGGACTTGCCCAGCCCCTGCTGCATGGGGGAAACTGAGTCCCAGGGCAGGAACCCAAAGCGAGAACGGGGACTTAGTTTCTGTCCCCTGAGCTTCAGAGAACACGAAAACCCGAGGCTTCCAGTGGCTTTCTGTGGCTCCTCAGCGAGGCTGTCTGTCAGCCCCTCAGTCCTCAGCCACTTCCTGGGCTGGGGACCTCAGTTTCCTGTTCCTGCCTTGAGGCCGGGCAAACGCAGCACCAACTGCTCCCCACAGGTGCACAACGTGGTGCTGTCAGAGCGGGACCTGCAGCGGGAGATCAAGGCCCAGCTGGCCCAGCTGCCCGATTCTGCGCCGGGGCCCCCGCCCCGGCCACAGGTCCGCCTCGCTGGGGCCCAAGCCATCTTCGAGGCCCAGCAGCTGGCAGGGGCACGACGAGGCGCCAAGCCTGAGGTGCCTCGGATTGTGGTGCAGCCCCCAGAGGAGCCCAGACCACCACGGCGGAAACCCCAGACCCGCGGCAAGACTTTCCATGGGCTCCTGACTCGGGCCCGGGGCCCCCCCATCGAGGGGCCTCCCAGGCCCCAACGAGGCTCCACCTCCTTCCTGGACACCCGCTTCTGAGAGGACCATGGACTCAGTGTTCCCCAGTCTCAATTGCCTGATGGCTGATGCCAGCCCTGCAAATGGGCACCGCACTTTACTCTTGGGACTCGGCTTCCTTCCAGGCAAGGACCAGGCGGTGGGGGAGGAGGAGGTCCTCCGTGGTACATACTGGGTCAGGCACTAGCATGGAGGAGGGTCACAGAGTGGGGCACCTGAGGACTCATGGAACCGTCCTGGTGCCCAGGCCCTCCCAAGTACCAAAGCCGGCACCATAGGAGTCAGGGAAGGGGTTGGCTGGGTGAAGGGACCCCAGAGGGCTCCAGGAATAAAATCTTTTTGAACTTGGATCTTCAGATCTTCAGAGCCTTGGATGGCGCTGGATCAAATGCCCTCCTCCCAACCCCAGACAGACAGCCCCTTCCCCTCCTCCCTCACCTGCCCTTCCCAGCCCTGCCCTCTCCTGGTCCTGCCCTGGGGACACACTGAGGCTGCCCACTGGCAGCTGGGGAAGGTGTTTACATAAATAAGAGCCAATTGAAAGTTACCCTGCCCCAGCGTCTGGGGACAGGAGTGGCTTTTGCACCTGCAGGAGAAGGGCGCCCCAGTGGACGGCGAGTCCAGGAGTTCTACCCCCTTTTCTGCCCTCCTTCCCCTCCCTCCAGGGTGGTTCAGAACTCGCTGGGATGGGGGACTCTAACCCAAGTCCTCCCCGCACCCATGGTCCTGGTCACATCTGTCAAAGGGACCCAGGCAAGAACAAAGGCCTAGTGTGCCGCGGACAAAGGAGAAAGGTCCCGCCAGCCCTCGCCCCTCCCTGATCCCTGTGTCTACCCCCTCGGGACCGCCACCATGGAAACCCCCTCCCACACTCACTAATAGCCCCTGTGGGTGCCTAGGACTTGAGCCATCGCCAGGGCAACAGGGCTGGTTCCGACACAGGCGTGTGTCCCGCAGTGCCCGTTCCCAAGTGCCCGCCTCTCAATGGGGAACACGGCAGGACTCCACATGGATGGGAGGCATCTGCAGGCTCGGGCTCCACAGGTGGTCATTGGGTGGGGTGTCAGTGGAGTCACCTGTCGGACTCTGGGTTTGGAATGTTCTTGCGACAGGGCCACAGGCTGCATCTATGTGGCAAGTGCCAGGTCCTGGGTCCTGGGCAGACCTGTCCTACTCCCAAGGAGCCTACCCCCTGGAATAGGGAATCATGGTGGCCCAGACCCTTATCTGTCATTTATCTGGGGGAAACTGAGGCTCAGGAGCAGGAACTTGCAGAAAGCCTTACTATCCATGGCAGACCCAAGGTTTACCCCTGCCCCGACCACTGGCAGCTCCCCGCCAGGCAGCCCCCTGGGAGTGCTGTCTCCTTCTCCTTCCCCACCCCACCCCCAATCCCGCACCAGCCTGTGTGTGTGGAGGAGGCAACAGTCGGACTCCTGTGCGTTAGAGAGCGCTCCAGAGCCTCCTCCGCCCACTCCTCCTCACCCCGCTGGGGTGCCTGCAACTTAGTAATAGCCTCCTTACCTGTAGTTTACAAAACCCTTTCCCAGACACCCCCTGCCAGACCCTCTCTCTGCAGGTGGCCCCCGATATCCCTGTTAGAGACACAGAGGCTCAGTGAGGACAAGGACCTCACCCAGGCCCACAGTGAAAGGCAGAGCCGGCTGGAATGCAGAGGCAAGGCTCTGTGCTGTGTAGACTATGCCTTAGCCTTAGACGATGAGTGTCTTGGAATCTCAGGCACTGTAGCAGGCAGGGTGGCCGGGGTCAGGGGGCACTTGTCCCTGAAGTCTACTTGGGAGCTCCCCACCCTCCACAGTTCAGCTCTTCGCCTGGGAGAATAGGGGAGCAAGGTGCAGCAGCCTCAGCACTGGGCCGAGGGTCTGTCATGAGCCTGCGGGAGCACGGTGGCAGTGGTTCACCCTGGACACAGACCCTAGGAGCAGGTGGTCTCCGGCAGGGCCCCTCTAGCTGGGGCTCAGTCACTGCCTTTCCTACGCAGAAGACTGTTTTCTGGGCAGCCCTTCTGTAGGTTTCCTTATCAGCCATCTGCATGGGAGCCCTAGCTCATGGGTCGGACAGAAGAGGACCAGTGCTGTCCCGGCGTGAACCCTCGCACACATGCGTTCTCACAGGCTCTCCTCCGCAGGGCTGCGCCGGCCCCCACAGCACCTTTTTGACAGCTAAGGAAAGATGTCTCTCCTCCAGGCAACATGCAGCCTCACCAGAGTGCACGGTGTAGCAGAGTGGGGCATGACCTCTCACCCAGGTGCCTCTGTGCAGTGAGCAGCCGACACAAACATGCTCAGAGAACCTAGAAAGTCCCTACAGATCTGCCTGGAAAGGGGCTCAGAGAAGGGAAGCGAAGCATCGGAGGGCACGCAGTGTGTGGGGACAGGAGCTGGGAGGGCCCTGGCATGTCTGTCAGCCTGTCTCAGAGTGGTGCATGCAGACTGGACACGAGCTGGGACATGCAAAGGAGTGGATGGGGGGCAAATGGGTGCCTGCCATGGATTGGGGGGACCCACGGTCTCCATCTTGCACTGCCACCCACTTGAGGTTCCCTGAATTCCTACACTGTTCCAGGCTCCCAGAGGGGTCAGACTTGGACTCCCTGACATGGGAAAGGCCCTTTCTCCTTCTCTGAGCCTCAGTATTCTCCCGTGGATAATGGGATTATAACAGCCTCCACCCCAGCCTCAAGAGTGCTCTCCCAGCTCATGATGGTGATGATGACTGTTCAGTCCAGCTGCGCAGCAGCCAAAGCACTCCCGCTCCTCACCCCACCCCTGCCTGACTTGGCTCCGCCTCAGGTGATGTCCAGGCTTTCCTGGCAGGGGCAGAGCAGAACCACCCTGCCCACCTGCCTGCCCCAAGTCCCAGGGCCCTGAGCTTGGGCTGCAGCTGCCCAACTCTGATTTTCCTCCGTGTCCACAAGGCAAAAGCCAGTGCAGCCAGGGACCAGCCAGGGTGGCCTGGGAGAGGGCACACCACACAGCTCTCCGTGCGGGCACGCACGTATTCTGGTAGAAGATCCCAGCTCTGCCTCTCACTAGCTGTGTGACCTTGGGCAAGTCACACGACCTCTCTGAGTCTCATAATTGCTCCCTTGCATGTGAAGTGTTAAGCCTGGGCTAAGTGTGCACTGTATCCCCATTTGAAGATGAGAAAACTGAGTCCCCGGGGCTGCAGAGCTTGTTAAATTTGTTGTTACGTGTCAAAAACTCATGCTCTTTGGATCACACCCAGGCCCCACCGTGGGACCCCATGGGCGCTCAGGCCACCCAGGCAGCAAGGGATTGGGTCTCCTGGGGTGGCTGTACCTCATTCCTGGAGCCTAGGCCAGCTGCTGGGAGGGCTGCATGTGGGCCTGGAAGTTGTGTGGGGAATGTGGGCTGGGCTAGGCACCCTGGAGAAGCCATTTCCGCTCTCTGCCAACCCCTCCAGTGGTAGACAGGGATGTATCTGCACAGACTGCCCTGTTTATGTTGCAGAAAGGGTCCAACAGCTGTCATCTCTGTCCCTGATGTGTGTGGGCCCCTCAGTGCTCTCCCCCAGGCCAGGAGGCTCTCAAGGACAGCCAGGGCTCAATGTGTCCAGCTCTGAGACAGGTAGGGAGAGGGAATGACTGGGGACTGTGAGGGGGCGGAATCAGAGCCATGGGCTGCCCTGCCTGGGAGAGGGGAAGCAGCCCCATTCTAGGCTGGGGAGACTGAGCTTCAGATCACAAAGGGGAGGGGCCCAGGTCCCACAGCCAGAGCTAGGATTGAAACCCACTGGTAGGACACACTCCAGGAGAGGGTGTGAATCTTTGGTTGTGCTTCTGTGGGTGAATTGTGGCTGTGACCCAGGTCTCTTGGGGTAGCTTCTGTGGTTGTTTGGGTGGGTGCACTTGGGTGTGAGTATGTGTGTCTTGGGGAGATTGTAGCTTCAACTCCGGGTGTGAAGTCGACCTAGGTGGGTGTTGATGAGCAGAGCAGATTTCTTTTCCTTCTTTCTTTTCTTTTTTCTTTTTAAAGAGATGGGGGGCTGGGCACGGTGGCTCACACCTGTAATCCCAGCACTTTGGGAGGCTGAGGCGAGCAGATCACGAGGTCAGGAGATTGAGACCATCCTGGCCAACATGATGAAACCCCGTCTCCACTAAAAATACAAAAATTAGCTGGGTGGACTGGGCACAGTGGCTCATGCCTGTAATCCTAATGCTTTGGGAGGCTGAGGCAGGTGGATCACCTGAGGTCGGGAGTTCGAGACCAGCCTGACCAACATGGAGAAACCCTGTCTCTACTAAAAATACAAAGTTAGCCGGGTATGGTGGCGCATGCCTGTAATCCCAGCTACTCCAGCCTGGGCAACAAGAGCGAAACTCCTCCCCCCGACAAAAAAAAAGTAGCTGGGTGTGGTGGCTCGCACCTGTAGTCCCAGCTACTTGGGGGGCTGAGGCAGAAGAATCACTGGACCCGGGGAGGCGGAGGTTGCAGTGAGCCAAGATCGTGCCACTGTACTCCAGCCTGGTGACAAAACAAGACTCTGTCTAAAAAAAAAAAAAAAAAAAAAAAAAAAAAATGGGATAGGGTCAAAAAAAGAGATAGGGTCTTGGCTGGGCACAGTGGCTCATACCTGTATTCTCAGGACATTGGGAGGCCGAGGCAGGCGGAGCACCTGAAGTCAGGAGTTCAAGACAAGCCTGGCCAACATGGCGAAACCCGGTCTCTACTAAACACACAAAAGTTAGCCAGGCATGGTGGCTTGTGCTTGTAATCCCAGCTACTCGGGAGGCTGAGGTAGGAGAATCACTTGAGCCTGGGAGGTGGAGGTTGCAGTGAGCTGAGATCACGCCACTGCACTCCAGCCTGGGCGACACAGTGAAACTCTGTCTCACAAAAACAAAAACAAAAACAAAAAAAAAGAGAGAGATAGAGATAGGGTCTCACTGTATTGCCAGGCTGGAGTGCAGTGGCACAACCAGGACTCACTGTGGTCTCGACCCCTGGGGCTCAGGTGATCTTCCCACCTCAGCCTCCCAAGTAGCTGGGATTATTACAGGCCCACACCACCTCAACCAGCTAGTTTTAAAATGTTTTTTTTTTTTTTTTTTTTTTTTTTTTGCTATGCTGCCCAGGCTGGTTGCAAACTCCTGGGTTCAAGCAATCCTCCTGCCACAGGCTCCCAAAGTTCTGGGATTATAGGCAGCCACCACACCAGAAGAGACTGGATCTTATAGACATCCTGGCCCCTGTGTGCAAGTCCACTGGGCCCAGAAGTGAGGAGGAGGCTGCACAGATGTGCAGAGACCCTGGCCCAGGAGGGCCTCTCTGGGAGAACGTGCAATAGGGCAGAGCGCCGGCGGCTGGGACAGAAAGCTGCAGGGCCGGGAGCTCCGGCCTCTATCCAAAGGTAGAGCTCAGGGCTGTGTGCCCCAGGCTGCTCTCCCGGGCACACCACCCCTAAGGGCGGGCCCTTGTACCAGTCTCTGCCCGCTCCGGCTCTCCCCGCCCCTCCTTTCCATCTCTTCTCCACGGTGGCCTTCCTCTTTCTTCACAGCCCTAAGTCTGTGACCCCCGACGACAGTCCCTGTTCATCTGCACCTGGCCCTCTGTCGGGACTTCCTCTGTGTCTCTAAAGACCTCCGTCTCTCCTTGCCTGCTCCGTGCCCTCCTCCTGCCGGGTTCGTGTCCTGCCCCACGCCCCCAGGTCTGGGACGTTTTCGTGGCGGGTGGGGCAGGCACGTTCCTGGCGGGTCCCTATCGGTCCCTGACGGTCCGTCCGCCCCGCGCCGCCCCCGCCGGGCACTGGGCATGCCCCAGGCGTTTCTATATAAAGCGGCGCCGCTTGGGCCCGGCGCTGTGCCACTGCCACCGCCGTCGCCGCTGCATCCTGCCCGGTCCGAGTCCGCCCACCACGCCCGCCCAGCCACTACCGCCGCCAGGTACCCAGGCTCCGGCCCCGCCCCGGGAGAGCCAGGGAGGGGGGCGGCCGGGGCAGGAGTCGCGGGGACGAGAACCCTGCGCGCCCGCGCTACGCGGCGGGACCCTCGACGCTACTCTCCCCACCCCCGGGACCTGGCGCCCCCCACTCCCCCCGCACTGGAGGGGCAGAGCCGAGCCGGGACCCTAGGGCAGGAAGGACCTGTGAGCGCGTTGGGGCAGGAGCCACTCGGTCTGGGCAGCAGAAATCCCTCCCCATCTTCGGGGTGGGGGTGGGGCGGTCTTGGCCTTTCTCTGCAGGGACAGGTGTTGGCCACCTCTCCACTCCCAAAGTCTAGGGGCTGGAAGGCCAGGCAGGGACCTGGATGCCCTGACTCCTTCATCTCTCTGTCCCTCTGTCTCTGCCATCAGTCTTTCAGCCACTCCACCCACGAGATGGTGAGTCTCCTGCCGTCCCTCCCCCACAAGGCCCAAGTCCCTGGGCAGAGAGAGGGCCCAGAGGACAGCAGGCAGCACCCAGGACCTAAGCCTGGGGGTTGCCCCATGCAGAGAGCTTAGACCCACGACCAGCTCCCCCACCCCCACCCTGCAGCTGCGTCCTGGGAGGTGGGCACTCTTAGTGCCCTGTGACAGTCATTCATTCCACGGCCCCTCAGGGAGCTCACCTTCTACGAGAGGGCACAGAGGCTCTGGCCCTGGCAAACTGGGATTCAAGCCCAGGTGTGAGGCCTAGTCCTCTGCCATCTGGGCCACAGCACACCATCTCCCAACAACCAAGAGATTCTCTTCGTCCCAGCCTCATCAGCCCCCAGGGGATGGGACAGGGCAGGCACCAGGCAACAAGGCCCAAAGAGACCTCATAACTTGCTCAAGGTGGCTGAGCCTGTCCCCTGGAGGACAGACCCAGCAGGCAGGCCTGTTCAGGCCTGGGGACTGCAAAGAACAAGAATTCCATTCACACGGAGCCTCCCAGCAGCCCCCATATGGGGTGCACCAGCCTCAGAGAGGGGAGGGACATTAGGTTTCATCCAAAGAAAGCATTTCCATGACTCAAAATATCTGCAAAGAGGGGTCCCAGCCCTCCCCCTCCTAATGTCTAGCCCAGGGCTGGGCACACAGTAGGGCTTCAAGGCCTACGTGGGGATGACAGGGAATCACATTTAGGTGTCAGCACACTCCATGCTGGGTCATGAGAGAGAAATAAGCCACCCCAGAGTGATGGCTGGGTTCGTTCGTTCATTCACCTGCTCTTCGGTCAACAAACATTTACTGAGCAGTGGCTGTGTGCCAGGCACGGTTTAGGTGCTGGGGTTGCCTCCATGAACAAAACAAACAGAAACCTCTGCTGCTGTGAAACAAGCTAAGGCGGAGCCCAGCGTGGGGGCACGGGGGGTGCTGGTCGGCAGGACACTGCTTCCTGCCATTCCTCCAGGGGCACCACACAGACAGTTGACAAAGCACTCCCACCATCGCGTTCCCATGAATGCGCCTTCACCCCCAACACAGGCCTTTCCTCTCCTAGTCCCCGGGACGGTGTCAGCCCTGAACACAGCCCAGGCTGGGAGAGTGGGGGCCTTACACCCTTGGGTGACTTAATGTGACCACTGGCCCATCCTGCCCAAGATCCACCACTTCTGCCCTCTCAGCTCTCCCTGGATCCATCTGGTCCCGAGTGGGATTGCCCACTGGGCTCCAAGGACCTGGAGGATGAGGGCCCCTGGGGAGGGGGCTCTGGCCTGCCGCCCACAGGCTGCTTCCCTGGCTCCTGGCGCCAGGACGTGGGCCTGGACTGCAAGGGATCCCCCGAGGGGACCGAGGCCCGGGCCTGGACTGTCTACTACTACAGCCTCCTGCAGAGCTGCCTGCAACAAGCTGGCCTTCCGGAGACCCAGGACCGCAGCCAGGCGCCCCGCACAGGTGCCCAAGGGCTCCCTGGAGGGGGGCACCCCTGGGGGCAGGGAGGGGCCCCCAGCCCAGTCTGCTTCCTCGTCCATGTCAAGGTCAGCCCCTTCCCCCAGGCTCTGGTTCGGTCTGAAGGCAGGAAAGGCACAGCTAGTTGGCCTAGGGTAGGCAAACATTGTTTGCAAGGGCATCTGGCACCAGTGAGGTCAAGGATTGGGCTCTCTGCCCTCACCCCCTCCCCAAAAAGACCCAGCCCTGGGATTGGGAAACTGTTGTGTGGCACTGAAGCTTCTAGAGAAAGGTCTTGGGAGCTGCGGCAGAGGCAGCTCAGCAGCTGAGACCCCCCGGACTCCTCCCCTTCTGCCCCTCCCACGCCTGTTGTGTATACAGATTTTGTGTGGACAGACGGTTCGCAGGTAGAATACCTGAGAATCACAGACTCGGTCCCATTGTACAAACTGGGAAACAGGGGCTTGGAGGAACACTGACTCCTCCGAGGTCACACAGAAAGTCAGAGCTCAGGCTAGAACCCAGGTCTCCAGTCACCCAGCCTGCAGCGCTTCTGGAACAACTGCAGAAAGGGGGGGCCCGTCTCACAGGGCAGGACTGGTGGGCACGTCCACTCCCTGTCTGGCCCCTGTCTCGTCCGATTCCTGGGAAAACTCTGGGGGCCCAGGGTGAGGCCATGGGTGTGGAGGTGGTGGAAGGTGGGCAGACAGACAACAAGGGCGCCCCTGGTGAGCTGGGCCATGTTCTCTTTCCCGAGGCTGTCCTGGGGCGGAGGTGACCTTGTGCGTTCTGGGCTCCCCCAGCACCTTTCTGCCTGTGCTGCTGGAGGGTGGGGTCCAGAGCCCGGGTGAGTGTGTGCTCAAGTTTCCCCATCCCCTTCTACAGAAAGGGCAGCCCTGCCCTGGCCCAGCTACATCCCAAAATACCCGCCAACCCTGGCAACTCCCTGCATTCCACTGGAGCAGCTGCCATGCCGAGTGGGGTTGGGTTCTGGGATCAGCTGCCCCCACTCCGCTACCCAGGGGCCCGGGCATGGGCCATCAAGCCTTCCCTGGCCAGCCACTTGCCTTCTTTGCCCACAGGAAACATGCTCCTTTGCCTGTCCCCTGCTTGGTTGATGAAGGTGCCAGCACCTGGGCAGCCGGGTGAGGCAGCCCTGCTGGTCCTCAAGGCTGTGAGCTTCCACCCTGGGGGCCTGACATTCCTGGATGACTTTGTCCCCCCACGCCGTGCCACCTACTTTCTGGCAGGCCTGGGTCTGGGGCCCAGCCGGGGCCGAGAGGCAGCAGAGCTCGCCCGTGACCTGACCTGCCCCACAGGAGCTTCAGCTGAGCTGGCCCGGCTGCTGGAGGACCGGCTGCTGACAAGGCAGTTGCTGGCCCAGCAGGGTGGTGTGGCTGTGCCAGCGACCCTGGCATTCACTTACAAGCCGCCAGGGCTGCTGCGTGGAGGGGATTCCAGCCCAGGGCTACGGCTGGTGGAGCTGAGTGGCAAAGAGGGCCAAGAGACGCTGGTGAAAGAGGAAGTGGAGGCTTTTCTGCGCTCCGAGGCCCTGGGTGATGTCCTGCAGGTAACAGGCTCTTGTCCACCCTGAGGTCTGTACAGATGCCAGCAGGAGGGGACCCAGGCACGGCTACCAAGTCTGGCTGGGAAGGTGTCCCTACCTCTTAGCCCTGCCACTGCCCCATCTCTAGGGCAATCCCCTGCCCTTTTGCCTCAGTTTACTCACCGGCTCCTGTGGTGGAAGCGCCCCACCCTGCAGTACCTGCGGTGGCGTCCAGGAGGCCCCTTTCCCCTCCTTGCTGCAGGTGGCTGTGAAGCTCAGTGGCTGGCGCTGGCGGGGGCGGCAGGCATTGCATCTGCACCCACGGGCAGAGCTGGGTGCAGTGGTGAACACAGTGCTGGCACTGCTGGAGAAGCTGGAGGAGGAGGAGAGTGTCCTGGTGGAGGCTGTGTACCCACCTGTCCAGCTGCCCTGCTCAGGTGAGAGTCACCTGGGCTGGCCAGGGGTGGGAGCTTGGTGTGGCCTTCTGGCCACTCTGTGCTGGCCTTAGACCTCTTTGTCTTCCCCCAGATGGTCCTTCACCTGGCCCTGGCCTGGCCGTGCGAATCTGTGCTGTGGTGTGTCGGACACAGGGTGATAGGCCACTGCTGAGCAAGGTGAGTGTGGCCCAGGCCCAGGTTGTGACCCTGCCTGCCACACCCCAGTCCAGTCCCAGTGGTTTGCCAAGGGCCCCTGAGCCGTCTCTGGGCAGAGAGGACAAAATCCTTAGAGGGATCGAAGTTGCCTCTGGGGAAACTACTGGGTCTGACCCGTCTTCACTTTCCTGTAACCCTTCCAGAACCCCTCCCACACCGAGAGCCCCTGCCCCTGTGCTCAGCCCCACGCTGGGTAGTACCAGGGCCCAGGGGGCTGAACTGTCTTTCCAGAGGGTCTTGCCCACCTAGAGGCTGACCCAGGGCTTCCTGATAAACCTCTAGTGCCTGCAGCCCTTCAGGAGGGGCCTCTAAGCTGGGGAGTTCAGGAAGGCTTTTAGGGACCCTACTGGGTACCCAGCTCTAGGCTACACTGAGAGGGAGAGATTCGACCCTGCCCTCAGGGAGCTCCAGTGGGGTAGGGGAGAGGGGAGATGCTAGGACGGCGCACACCAGGGTGGCCCATGCCCTCAGGGCTGCAGGAGCCATCCTGGAGCGGGACGCCAGCTGGGCCTGGAAGCCTGGGTAGAATCCCTGGAGGGGTCTGGGGACCAGATGGGGAGTGGCAGGTATATCTCGCGTGCAATTTAAGACATGCTGGAGGACGGGGCTTCTTGAATGTCCAGTGAGGGGTCTGGTCTGAATCTTGGCACAAGGGGGTGGGGGTGTGCATGGGGGGCAGGAGTGTGTGGGCCTCCCTCTGAGCCGCCCCCTGCCCAGGTGGTGTGCGGCGTGGGCCGCGGAGACCGGCCTCTACGGCACCACAACTCCCTGCCGA